ATAATACTTTTTTAATAATACAATTTTAAAAAATTATATTTATTTATTAATTTTAAACCAAAAAAGTTTCTTTAAATTAAAAACATTTTTTTTTTCATTCTGAAACCATCATTCAAACACTGTTGAAATTCTACATTCGATTTCGCTTACCAACTGTCCTGACCTGTTTGCAACTTGAAAGCAGTGGTTTTCGAGGTTTGCACTCCCACCCCTCTTAAAGTTCTCTCTTGGCATTTGTGTAAATAGACTTTGCACCTGAGTTGCACAGAATTATTTACAAGAATTGTGGGTGTGCGACGAAACGAACATGGTTTTGTCCAAAGAGTTTATTCTCACAAACGTCCTAGAAAGTTATTATACAAAGAAGAAGAACAAGAAGAAGAGAAATCGAGAAATAGTAAAATCGGCCCAGTTTATACATTTATATATATATATAGGGTCAAAGTATATTCAGAAAAATGGGCTGAAAAGTGTAAGAATGGCTGCCGTTAGAAAACGTAATAAATATTATCTTCCTGCATGTATGCAAAGTTAGAGTGGCAATGAATTACCCTTTGCGAGAGTTCACCACCTGTTCTCGGGAAGGGTTTCTTCACTCCATTTGCGCCTTGTCAAAGGAAAAAAAAGGCAAAAAGAAAAAAAAAACAATACCCAATATATTTTTTTATAGTAAAAAAATAACCTTACAATTGTTGTTAAAAAGAGTCGAAATATATTATGTCTGACTAAAACTATCTTCTACCACTTATTATATTTTTGAGGAAGTAACATACGATTTGTCTGACCAATATTGTCTTCTACTACTGATAGAAAAATTGCAAGAATTTTTAAATATTTCGTCTGACTGCAAAGCAAATTGTTTTCTGATTGAAAAATCACAAAAAAATATGTCTGATTGAAATTGACTTTTACTACTGACAAAAGAATTCACAAAAATTTCAAAGTCTGACTAAAACTGACCTTTACTACTGATTCGAAAAGTTCGAGAATTTTTCATTCTAACTGACTTTTACCACTGATGCCAATGTAATAAGAATTTTCAAGTCTGTCTAAAGTCATCTTTTACTACTAAAGCAGAAATTACCAAAAAAAAAAAAATTTCTACAATTTTGACTGACCAAATTCGAGTTTTACTACTGATATCAAATTTCAAAAAAATATCTCCCAATATTCAGTTTTCTCTACCGATATTTTCTTCCTCAATTTTATAAAAAATATCTCTCAACTTTTTCTCTACGAATATTTTTTCAACCTAATATAAAATATAATAAATTTTCTGATGAAATTTCACTTTCACATCTAGTCAAAGAACACATTTATAATATCACCAAAAAAAAAAGGAGAAAATTTTCCCTTTTTCTTTCATAGTAAAAAAAAAAAAGAAAAAAATTGGATTTTATGTCACTACCGGAAGCTGAGTCGTGTGCTTGAAAATGTGGATGCCAGTCTAACATGTGAAATTCAAATTACTTTTCTTTCTCGTATCTGAAATTTCCAATCAAACTTTTTTCATATCAATGCAATAAACACTTTAAATCGAAAAGTAACTTTCTATTTTCCCCCCCCCCCCTCCCCCACTCCACTCTTAAAATAGCAATTTTAACTTTTCAACAATATTTATTCTTTTAACGTGTCTTATCATTGTGTGTGTGTGTTTTTTTTAAAATTTTTTTAACTGGAAAAAATATTTTATTTTAAAAAACTACATTTTAATGAAGTGAAATACTTTTTATATTGAATCGAATTTTCACTTGAGTTGAAGGAAGTTTAATATGCTTTTGTTTATGTTTGTGTGTGTGTGTGGTAATTATTTTTAAGTAATTGCAAATTTATTTTCAAGTTTCAATTCGAATTGCTATTTACTGAGTTGACATTTGCACATCTCAGGCTTTTGCTCATTTCCTTAACATTCTCTCGAGGAGATTGCAAGATTGTAAAAGTTTCTCAAGTACTGGAACTTGTACATCGCATCTTTGCAGCCAAGCTTGGCACTGATACACCTTTAACCTCGAGAAATATATATATATATGTATATACAGGTAAATATACGTAAATATACGTAAATATATATATATATATATATATATATATATATATATATATATATATATATATATAGTCTTTCAAAGTCGACTTGCCACACCGTCACAGCCAATCTCCGGCACTATATTTCCAAGGAAATGAATCATTCGCATTCGTTTGAGGGCACGTGGTTGAGGGTTGCCTACTGGATTGGCTTGTGGACGAACACGCTTAAATTGACTGTTAAATTCTGATCCGATTTATTTTACGAAAAATCTCTCATTCTTTTCGATCTCAATTCTTTTTTTTTAAACTTATTTCATTTCTCGCAATAATACAGGTAAAATTTTATTGATATTTTTTATAGTAGTCAATAAAAAATTAATATTACTTCAATATTAGTAAAGAGAAAAAAATAGAAAATATTTTTTTACGTATTTAGATAAAATAATACTTGAAAAAATATTTTACTACTGATATCAAATTATTTAAAAAAAATTCAATGTCTGTCTAAAACTGCCTTTTTCTACTGATAACAAAACAAAAAAAGAGGAGGTCTAACTGAAATTGACATTAACTAATGTGAAAAGAATTCTAAAAATAGAGTCTTACTGAAACTGACCTTTACTACTGATTTGAATTTTTCAGTCTGACTAAAACTGTTTCTTACTACTGACAAACAATTCTAATTATAAATAAAGTCTGACTTAAATTTATTCTTACTACTGAAAAACAATTTTAAAACTAAAAAAAAAAGGCTAAATAAAATTGACTATTACTACTGACAAAGAAATTCGAAAAATAAATATAGTCTGACTGAAATTGACTCTTACCACTGACAAAAGAATTCACAAGAATTTTAAAGTCTAACTAAAAATGTCCTTTACTACTGATACGAAATGTACAATAATTTTTCAATCTGACCAAAATTAACACTTACTACTGACTAAAGAATTTTTTAAATCTAATAAAAAACATTAGAAATTAAAATATCGAAACAAAATTTATTTAGAAACAAAAATAAAAAATTTTACCAATTTTTATATCAATAAAAAAAAGGGATTTATTTCTAATTACAATCACTCTGTTTATTAATTGTTTACATTCATATTTCATATATAAATATCTATATATCTTCTTTTTTATATTCACAGTAAATTGTCTCCTATCATTGATATTACGGTTCGATTGCTTTTTAAAATGCATTAACGTTTTACAATCAATTTAAAAACTGTTTTTTTTTTTTTTTTTAAAATTGCCTTTTAAAATATGCAACCCATTTGGCTTTGTCGATTATTCTAAAATAAAAATTCATGAAAATTGATCAGTCTATGGTTTCAAAAAAAATTTTCATAAAAAAAATAAATTATTTTAATAAAAATAGAAAATAAAAAAAAATGAAAAATAATTTTTCTTTTAATTTTTCTGAATCTCTATTTCTTGAGTATTTTATTTTATTTTTGTAAAAGTATCCGAAGGAAAATAGGCATCTGCTGCTACCGTTGCAGGAAAATTTCACAAGCTTAAGTGAAAAAGAGGAAAGAGAGAAAAAAAAAAAAAAAAACTAAATCGACTATAGAAGAGTATGTAAAATAGGTTGCTCATTTTCCATCATTATTTTAAAATATACGCGGTGGAAATTTTTTTTTAACGAGAATTTTAGTGATAAACAAAATAGGGTCCCTGGTAATAAACATTCCCACCTAAAATACATTCTCTCTCTCTCTCTCTCTCTCTCTCTCTCTCTCTCTCTCTCTCTCTCTCTCTTTCTCTTTCTCTCTTCTATATATATTTTTTTCTTTCCCATACGTATGACAAGCATATAAAGTAGATTTTATGAATTTTTCATGCAATGCAAATGGACATAGTTCCTTTTATTTCCGGTGGTGGTTTTCGGTGTACTCAGTTATCGTTGGATGTGTTAATGTTGCAATTAAGACAAAAGAGAGATCGTTTTAAATAAAATTTTAAATACAATGACCATAGAACTAAGTTTAAATTAACTGTTTCGAAAAACTTGTAGCAATGTATTTTCTTCTTTATTGCAAATTCAATGAATAAACAAATTTTTTTTTCATATACACAATCATAACTTTTTCAAATAATTATTTTACAATTTTCACATTTTTCAAATAAAATTCCACACTCTAAATCTGAATTAGTAAAAATGTTTACTAATTTAAATTAGTGACTCACATTCTGCTTTAGAATTAGTTAAATTTTACTAATTGTTAGTAAAAGTTACTAATAATTAGTAATATTTTACTAATTCAGAAGCAAAAAGTGAGTCACTAATTCAAATTAGTAAACTTTTTTACTAATTCAGATTTAGAGAGCAGAGCAAAATTATTTTTAGTTTTTAATTAGATTCTTTTTTTTGTCAAAAAAAAAATGAAAATTAATTTTTTAATTATATTTATTTAATAATTTTTATTCTCTTAATTTAAAATGAAATACTAAAAAAAAATATTAAATGTAAAATAAAATTATCAACGAAAATATGAATAAAAAAAAAGAAAAAAAAAATTTTATTTTATATTCTATTATTAATATGCACGATAGCATGAAAGACGCTTCCTTTCTTTTTATAAACCAAACAGCTCGAGATATTTGCATGATTGCTTCAAATATTCCTCTATTCATATATGTAATTACATGTATAGTGTCATCGTTTAGTGAACCCATAAATTCTAACATCGTACACCCTCGTTAAATTTTATCCGGCTCACCTAACCCTTCTTCCTAACTATGTACACACTCAATTGTCAGAAATAATAGCAATATAAATTGTAATTTCACTCCAGGTGCATTGAAAAAAACAATTATTATATTCCCGCAGTTTATTAATAGAAAAAAAATAAAAAAATTATTAAACATAATAACCAAATGACAATTATTTATATTCTTCTATATCTAATGGAAAATGTAATTTTCATCATATATTAATAAAATATTTTTTCTTTTTTTTTCTGTTACAGTTAATAATGCCAGTATGAGGTCGTTAGCTCTGATATTAATAATACTTCAATTTTTCACTGTTTTAATATAGGTAAGTTCAACAATAAACCCCAAATATTATGATTCAATTAGGAAGTCCTATATTTATTATTTATTTACTTCCCTTATAATTAGGGGAAAAATTTAATATTTTATTAGTTTACAAAATTATAATTAAAAAAAAACACGATTCTTTTTACAGATAAAAACTAGTCTCTAAATCGACTATAGAAGAATTCTCTTATTTCTGATATAAATACTAAAATAAGGAAGAAATTTCAACAGGTCTAGGTGGAGAATTCAATTTTCAATAAAAAAATTCTCGATTTTCGATCATCAAGAAATACATATAAATTAAAAAACTAATTTTTTAATTTTGAATTTTAAAACTAATTCATATGTTAATATTTACTAATTCTAATTTTTCTAATATTTTTCTTTTCTATTTTAAAATAGAATTTTCTTTTTTTTGCGGTTAAAATATCATACCGTATATCAAAAAAAAAAAAAATTCTTATAGTAAATTTTGTAAATACACCTCTACTTGTAAATATCGAACAAAAAAATTGTATAAAAAAAAAAGTACAAGATATGTCGAAAGAGAAACTTTTATGTATAACATCTATGTAAAAGTAAATTTTATTATCTATATATATGAAATATAGAAAATATTTATAAAAACATTCAATTCGTAATGGATAAAATATAAAATATTAAATGCCATCGTTGAATGATTGTAAAAAATATATATGTATCAGTTACATAAAATTATAATATCATATCTAAAAATTTTGTATAATTACTTCAATTATGCAAAAAAAAAACAGAATCTATGTGGAAATATATGTCTGTAAATATCACACGTAAAATTATAAATACTGATGATTTAATTTATTATTAAATAATAATAATTTATTCTATCTAATTTATTACAAATTTTATAAAAAAAAAGAAAAAAATGAATTTATTAAAATTTTATCAATTTGTTTTCTAAGTGACAGAAAAAAAATAGTGATATTTTTTAAAATTTTGATTTCAATAATCGTATGTTCTTAGCCAATAATTTAATAACAAAAAGAAATGAAATAATTTTTTAAATTTATTTCAACAAAAATAGTTCAACTATTCTTATTCAATAATTTCATAATAATTATTGGATAAGAAATTTAATTTTCACAATAATTTTTTTACTTTTTTTTTAGAAACAGAAAAATTTGTCAATATTCTGTAATTAAAAGTCAATTAAAATTAAAATCATTATAAATGATTATTATTACACCAATATATTCGATTAGTTTCCATTTTGTCTGCGCTACTTTTAAATAATATTAATTTTCCATTGAATTTAAAACAATTATTTCATTAAAACAAAAAAAGAATTCTTGATCAAGAAATGTAAATTAATTTATCGAAATGTAATATTTTTGTCAAATGACTACAGAGAAATTTAATTTAAAAAAATTTTATCAACTTTCTATATTCGTAAATAAATCTACTAATTATTGCATTATTTTAATTAAATACACAAATTAAAATTGTATACTGAATTTATTCAACAATTGAATTAACAATATAAGTACAGTTCGTGTAATATATATATACTCTGTACAGGAATCTTCCACAATTTCCTAGTCTGATTTTTAAAAATTTTCTACCAAAAAAAAATTTCCCAAAAAAAATATTATTTATAACATATATTAACCAAACAATGAAATACGTACACAATCAAAATGTCAATGATTTCTGTTCATATTTAATTACATTCTCATTATAAATGAGAAATTATTTTTTTTTTTCAAATACTAATTTTAAAGTATATTTATTGTTTCTTCTTTTTTTAAAAAAAAAGACCAGGAATTATTGACATTAATTATAATACTTGTACAATAAATATAATAATATAGTATTTGTGTAAATATATTATTGAGTATTGTGTATAAAAAAAAATTAATTCAGCGTGGATAAAAAGCACACAAAAACACAAAATGTTTTAGTCAAAAAAAAAAAATTTAATGACTTTAAACCTAGTCTTGTACCTAATCACACAAAATATACCAAATAAGCGACAGATAAGTCTTAAAAGTTAAGTTTAAATTAACGAAAAAAAAAGTTATTATATATATATATACATATAAATGTAATATTAATATTGAAAAATGATGTACAGTGTAATGTTTCACATATATTTAATGTATATGAAAATGCCGAAGAATAAAAGAATTTGTTACCAAATATTTTATCAATCATTTTTTATTTGCCAAAATTTTAATTTTTGTTAAATAAAATTTTTTCTTTAAAATTATTTCTCATCTCAATTTTTTTTAGAAAAAATAAAAAATTGGAGGAAAAAATCATTTACATAAAGGTAAGTATTAGTCAACGATTAAAATTAAAATAATAAAAATATAGAAATGTAGAATTAAAAAAAAAAATGAGTAGTTTTTTGATTTATTATTATTTAATTTGAAAATAAACTAATGAATTTAATTGAATGTAAAATATTTTAATATGGACACAATATGCATCGATTCTAATTTTACAATGTTATAATGAGATTCTATTATGTCCGGGTACTATGTTCATACTGTGAAGTTTCGAACTAACCTGTTTCCCTTTAGATTGAATTTGTGGCCAAGTGTTTCTGCGGATAGGAAATTTCGTTGTATAGTTATAGTAGAGAGTGAGAGGGACTATCAAAAGTAGTTTATTTTAACCCAAAATATATAGACCTTATTCACCGAAACATTGTTGTTAAGTACTTAAATACAATTTTAATAAACAAATTAATTTACTATTTCTGCTTTTATCAATTTTTTTTTCTAATATAAAAATATTTATTTTTTTGAATAAAAAAATTAATATAAAATATAAAAATAAATTAATAATAAAATATAGATGTGAGTTAATTAGAAAATTTCTTATAAGGTAAGTGAAAACATATTTTTCTTAATCAATATAAAAATTCTTTAATGTACCATTTTTCCATTGGATTAAAAATTAAATTATTAATATCAACGTTCAATAAATGAACTATATATTCACAAAATTCCAATAAATTTTCCTTAGATGTAAAATGTATAAGCTTAAAATTCTTTAAGCAAGGAATTTAAAATGAACAATTTCAACAGAAATTCCACTATAAGGAAGAAAACATTTGATAATGTGAAAAATTTATTTTTTTACTTCATAAATTTAAATATTAATATTCTAATGAAAAATATTTATTATGTTAATTAATAAATTGTAATTGTATTAAATTTATTGTCAAACGTTATATAATTAATAATAAAATGAAAAATTAAATTTAAAAAATAAAATAAGTATATTTTTTTATTTATTTATATAATTTTTTTCTTATTAATTTATTGAATATTGAATATAAATAAATAATTACTGTAGAATTAATTTTAATCATTTTTAAAATACTTAAAAGAACGATTTTATTAGTTAGAAAGAACTTGAAATTTTAGGATCACTGAATACGCGTTTCATTTGTCGCGCAAGCTCCGTAACTTGCGCAAGCTCCGAGGACTCTCACCTTAGAGGAGTAGATTCGTGATATTTGCTAGTAAGCCGCGTTGTGCCCTACGGTAAACACGTATTTGGTTGCACATGCTTAAAAAAAGAAAAATATTATGACCTTTACGAAATTCTCAACATATACTATTTTTACTTCTTAATCAAAAAGTCAGTATTCCAATTTTCCTTCTAAAACTTTCGCGCTCCTAGTCGGATTTAAAAAAAAAAATTCATTTCAATCTGTTTTTCAATAGGAATTTAATATTTTCAGTGCTATTTTGTGTTACAGTGAATTAAAAAAAGGTGCATTGAAAAGTGTATTACTTTTTTTTACATTAGTCAATTTTTTATAATTTCCATTTTACAAAAATTATTTCAAATTATTTTAAGAAAATAATAATGAAGATGATGATGGAGAAAGTAAAATAAAAAATCTCTCAAAATTTAAAATCACTAATCTCAATTTCAAATACAAATTTTGGGATAAAATTTTTCTTTTTACTTTTTTACAAATTTGAAATTCAATAGAATATATATATATATATATATGTATATATAAAATGGACTTTTATATCATGAATGAATGCTATAAAGATTGTTGAAACATTTACAGAAGGGGGGGAAACTTGTTTCACTAGTGTATATATGGGTGTGGGAAATAAACGCAAAATAGAAATGAAGTACGCCATTCGTTAAAATTTGTGTTCAAAGGAGAGCTTTAATTCCCATTTTCCTAACGAAATAGAGGAAAAGCTCAATTTTAGTGTGGGTAATCATCGACTTTAGGTTGAATAATTAAGGCTCGAAAATCAACTCGTTGTGCAAATTATCAAGCACAAATTATTAATACCTTATTATAAATACCATTATTTCAATTAAATAAAATTCTAATTATTTTTTTTTTCTCCAAAAAAAGACAAAATTACAAAATTTTAACCTTTAATCAAAATAATATTTAGATAATGAAAAAATAAAATTTTATTCAAATTTTGTGTTAAGAATTTTTAATATATTTTTTATTAAATATAAAAGTAGTGATTGAAATTGAAAAGACTGATTATCGATAAAATAATCGGTATATTGAAATAATTTAACTTGTTGACAAAATAAATTACTCATTATAATCAGTAAATATAAATTTGCGCGAATATCGGGAAAAATGGTGATATTATGAATTCATTGGGTATAATTAGTCGATTATATATATATATATATATATATATATAGATGATAGAAGGCTTTTGAAATTTATCAAAATTTTCAAAGCACTGTCTCAGCGAAAATCTGCGGGGATTATAGCAAATTTTTGTTCTATCAGTAACCGTGCGCACAGCAGCCACGAGAGCCGTAAATGATTTATCGTTCACGCATGATTTCACAGATATAAAAAGAAAGTCGATTTCAGAGACTTTAATATTAGATATTCCACATTATTATATTAAAAAAAAAAAAAATAATTCTATACACTATATTTATTATTTTTTTTTACTTTAATTTTTTACACAATTACTTTTTGATATCAAATTTTTTTTTCTATCAAAAATATTTCTATTTTTAATTTGCAATTTTTTTTTTTAATTATTAAATTTAATTCAAAAATTTTTTATTTATAAGGATTTTTTTTTATATTTTGCTAACAAGAATGATTCATTTTAAAAATTGGAATTTTTTTTTTTTATAATTAAAAAGTAGATTTTAAAAGTCCATTCTAAAATTCTGTGTGTACAATATTTTTTACTTTACGCACATTACATATGAATTTTATTTTCGATAAATTAAATTCAAAATTCCAAACAATGAAAAAATGTATTTTTTAAAATTAAATTCTCTGTTTCAAAATTTGGAATTTTTTCAACAAATAAATACATTCTCCAAAAAGGTTGTAAAACAAAATTTAACATTCCATATTGGCTGAATTGATATTATGCGAAAAATTTATAATTTGTTTTCACAAAAAAAAAATAATAATAATAATTAATTTTTCTTTTATTCATTGTAAATTTTTTCACACCAAAATTAAATTAGTCTCTTTTAATAATATATAGTCTATAGTAATTAATTTATAATATGAGACAAATATTCGTAAAATAAGATACAAATAATAAATTTTCTAATAGTTGATTTTCTAAGTACACGTTCCATTAAGCGTGAAAGTATGGAGAAAGAGTGAGAAAGAGAGAGAGAGAGAGAGAGAAAGAGAGTTTAATGACGCCACATTGAACAGTATAACGAACCGCATCCTCGAAGAAATTAAACTTTGCTCATAATTAAATAACCGAAGCTTCGCGGCGCTCCATCATCAGTCTTCAGAATGAATGGATAGAGTTTGAGATCTTTAAAGACCTACTATAATTCGACACTTAAGTTACTTGACGTGAGTTCATTGACAGTATATATACATATATAACACCAAGAAAAGACCTTGATGTGATAAAAACAATTTTTTAATATATCATTCTTATAAATGAATAAATTTTTTTTTTCTTACGTATTTAAATTTAGAAATTTAATTATCTAAAATGACAATGGGAAAATAAATTTAATCAAGATATGTGTAACTTTAATCGAAATTCTAATATAATAGTTAGAAAAAAAAGTTTCAATGTGAATGCTCAACGCTTTGTGTGGTTTTGTGTTCGCAAGTTGAAAATCGAACTAATTGATGGCTTTCAAAGGAAAATTTGATTATTAGTGAATGATTCCAATTTATAAAGTTAGCAGTTGGTTAAATCGAAATCATGAAAGCGGATCCAACACTTGGAACTGATATTCGATGGATGCTGTATTTTCTTCAGATTCCATTATTCATTTTTCTACTTTTTACAGGTATGTTACAATAAAAAAAAATTTTCAATTTTAATTATAAATAATAAAATTTAAAAAAGAAAGTGAATGTATTTTTTATTGTATGTAATTGTAAAACTGTTAAAAAAAATCGTTTTACCTAAAAAAAAAGATATTTCCTTGTTCTATACTGAAATAATAACAAAAAAAAAGGTTTTTATACTATTAATTAAAATTTAAATGTTTTTTTGTTTTGATTTAAAAAAAAAAATTGTATTCGAAATTTATCTATTAAAAAAGCATGAGATTGCTGGACTTTAAATTTATTGTTTTGTTCAATATCATCCATTTACTATTTTAAATCTCACTATACTTTTTTTTAAATTGGAACGGATATATTGTATTCCCTGGACAATTATACATATACCATATCATGAAAAAGATAAATGACAAATATAACGATAATATTTTTTTTTTTTTTGCCTCAAATTTTGAAAATAAACTCATAAATTAATGACTTTTTTTCTATATATATATATATATATAAAATACAAAATTGATTTAATATACAAGGTTTTGACATGTAATTACGAGTCAAAAATGTATTTAAAAAAAAAGATATTAAAAAAATAATTTGAAAAATAAAGCAAGTAAAAAATTCATTTTTCAATGGGATTTTTCACAAAAGATATATATATATGTGTATAAATGTAATCTTTTCCTCTAGTTTATGCATTTTTAGTTCGTTCTCATATAGTGACTACCTATCCAATATATGTCAAGTTTTCACGAGCTGAAACCTATTTACAAAAAAAAAAAAAAAAAAAAAAAACAAACAAAAATGTCCAAATCCTTTTTGTGCTTTCATTCGTGAAATGAGAGACTCTATTTTTTTTATCATACCAACGCACTCATCTTGTTTCAGTCATTCATTTTTTCTAGAAATGTTTGTATCATTAAGAAAAAAAAAAAATTTGACTATTACATATTTTTTTTATTCGCGAAAACTAATAAATTTTTTTTTATCATTGATTAATTTATTATATATTTATTTATTTTTTATCGAGTTAGTTTTATTATTTATTGAATTAATTTTATCACTTATTTTTTATTGAGTTACTTTTATTATTATTCTCGGCGACACTTTTCAAAGTAAATGATAAATTATCTTTCAAGGTACAAAATGTGTTTACCAGTCTGTCACTGATAAGAAACGGTTAATGATGTTTGCCGAGTGAGTTAGGTGAGAGAGAAAGAGAGAGAGAGAGAGAGAGAGAGAGAGAGAGAGAGAGAGAGAGAGAGAGAGAGAGAGAGAGAAAATGCACCTCGAAAGTTTAAGAGAGTTCTTTAATCATTATTGACCGCAATTTAACTAGAAAGGACAGAATAGTTAAGTTTTGACTACATTATTATTGGAAAAGTTTGCCAGCAGTTATCGCTTTCGAGAAAGCACTCCCGCGGGCTAGATTGGTAACAAGCCACCGACTACTGCAGTTCATCGACAACATCATATGAGAGTACTTAAACCAACCACCATAAGATTTCACCTTAAAGATCCCATTGGGAATTATACTTAACCTTAAAGTCTCGCTTACACCATTTATATATCGCAAAAGGCAACAAATGTCCCGAGATATTACTGACATCTGTTAAATAAAATCGTTTTTTCGTTTAGTACAAAAAATTTGCTAATTAGAAAATTATGAGAATGAATTTTCAAAAAGATTTTGACATTTAACAAAAAATTCTGGTAAATTAAAATTCTGCTACAGGAAAATTTTGCTTAATGCAAATTCTGCTAAATAAAAACTCTGCTAAATGAAAATTATGATAAATGGAAATTCTGCCAAAGAAAAATTTTGCTTAATGGAAATTCTGCTCAATAAAAACTCTGTTAAATGGTAATTCAACCAAATAAAAACTCTGCTAAATGGAAATTTTGCCAAATAAAAATTCTGCTTGATGAAAATTATGATAAATTAAAATTCTGTTAAATGAAAACTATGATAAATGGAAATTCTGCCAATGAAAAATTTTGCTTAATGGAAATTCTGCTAAATGGAAATTCAACCAAATAAAAACTTTACTAAATGGAAATTCTGCCAAATAAAAATTCTGCTTAATGAAAATTATGATAAATCAAAATTCTGTTAAATGAAAATTTTGCGAAATGTAAATTTTGCTAAATGCAAATTCTGCTTAGTAAAAATTTTGCCAAATAAAAATTCTACTTAATGGAAATTCTGCTAAATGAAAATTTCAGAAACCAAAGATTAATTCATTAGGAAAAAAATTTTCCAACATTAAAAATTCCATTAAATAAAACTTTGCCTAATAAAAAATTCAAATGCGATTGAATAAAATATTGAACATAATTTAAAATTAGGCTAAATAGAACAACCGTCTTTTAAAATTCGATCAATTGGGAATTCAAACTCTCTATAATGAGTTTCAAGGAATATTCATGTATCCCCTGTTGTTTTATTCACATTATATCCTTTGCTCCTTTGTCTATAAATATTGATTTCTCTCCATGAAAAATAGAGATAAAACCCCCGTAAGAAAAAGAAGAAGAAGGAATGAAGAAAGAAAGAATCAAAATAAGCTTTCGAAGAGGGAAAATAAATTTCAATTTATCAAGAGTTCCTCCTTCTACTCCTTTTCTTCTTGCTTTCGAGAGTTGAGAAGTGAAAAGTCATGCACGTCTAAAATTAATTGTATCACACAGAGAGGTCTAATCCTAAGGCGTTGGAATATAAAGGCTATTCGTATTCCACTGAGACCAGCGAGTGAAACTTAGTACCTGTGCCATAGATCTTTATTTAGCAAATGCTTTTGAGCAAGGAATCTTCATTAGTGATCATATATATATATAAATATATACGAGAGCTTTTGGAAACTCTACGAATCGTATATAGAAGTATAAGCGACAATAGTTATCCTTGAATATGTTATGACACTCAAGAACGCAATTTTCACCACGCGCTCTCTATCTCTATCTTTCTCACTATCTCTCTCTCTCTCTCTCTCTCGTCTCTAATTTAACTATTAAAACTTTACAACTTTCAAAAGTTCATTATTCAATTAAATTGAAACTTCTTGTCAGGTTTCAATTTTCTCAAATATAATTACTGAAAAAAATTCTTATAATAAAATGAGGTGAGAAAAAAAGGATAGAAAAAAAAAATTGGGGTCAAAAAAAAAAAAAAATGTCGAGCTTTCTACAATTTTTGATAATTGCAATAAAAATTTTTTTTCTCAACAAAAAAAAAAACTGTATTCATGGTATATATCTTATCGAAAAGAGAGTAAAATTCATAAATTCCAAAACCCCTAATAAACCTTCCTTTTATACGAATAACCTCAAATTACCACTCGTCACCCTTTGCTATTTAATCCGGTTCTGGTTTAAGAGGCCATATGTCTACTGATATAAATTACATAGGTCTGTGGGTTCAGCGACTCGCGTGTACCAGGGTTGAAACATGAATGGCTTCATTACATCGTGAACAGAAAACGTGTCGACTTTTTATATCAACCCCCCCCACCCACCCTCCTCTCACTCCCTTTTTTTTCATCCATTTGATATAATATTGATTCTATTTTCTAAATTTGAATTAGTTAAAAATAATTAAAATAGCAGAAAGTCAATTCCTAAATAGTTTTTTTTTTTTTTTAGTTAAAAATAACTTAAATACACTGAGAAAACTGGAGGTTCAGATTAAACCTCTGGAGGGATTAAGAATTCATATTTGAGAGTTGGCTATGGAACAACACTCTAAGTAATCGAATACACCATTCAGGGAAAGTCGTGTTATCCCTCCTGGAGGGTTAATAAGTTTATGGTTGAGGAACAAATGATAAATCTTGAGGAATCCCTTCCTTATCTTGCGCGGAATAAATAAATATGGCAACCTAACCTCAAAATTTAATACATTAAATTAAATGTCACCATATATCTTAGCGCGATCTTTGTGCGCAGAAGCTAATTCAAATTTTCTGCGCAGCTTTTATCCCTCTGTGCGTGAACGGACAGAATATGAAAGCAGATTTCTTTTATTAATTCAAAAATACATTTCGAAGGACTATTAAACTCTCTTGATAAGACAGTTGAACATACATTTTTTGAACCTCTGAATTTAACACTCCAGTTTTCTCAGTGTATAATAAATATTTATATTTTATAATTTTAAATTACTAATTCGGTAGCAAAAAGAAAATTAGTTATTTTTAACTAATTCAGATTTAGAGAGATAAATTGCGAAAATATCAATCTGTGTCTAACAAGAATGAAAAAAAAACAAAAAAAATAAAATCTTATATAGCCACCATCCGACAAAATTCAACTTTTTTTTTGACCCACAAAAAAATCCAACATTTTTGGAAACTAGGACCCAAAAAAAAATACCCGCCGTTTTGCTGGATCAAGTCGTTTGTGGTTTTTAGGGGTGAAAACAACCCCTAAATGAAAAGTGACAAGATATCTTTTAAAAATTATTAATATTTTATAAAACTTGATATCTGGGGGTTTTCGGGGTCGCTGATTATTAATCTGATGTCAGATTTTCAAAATTCAAAATGGTGGATTCAATATGGCGCTCAAAATTTTAAAAAGTTATTAAATTTTTTTTAAACCTTGATATCTAGGGGTTTTTTTTGGGTCGCTGATGACGAATCTAAAGTTAAATTGTCAAAATTCGAAATGGCGGATATAAAATAAAAAGTTAATAACTTTTTAAAAATTTGATCGCCATATTGGATCTGCCATTTTGAATTTTGAAAATCTGACATCAGATTAATAATCAGTGACCCCGAAAACCCCCAGATACCAAGTTTTATAAAATATTAATTTTTAAAAGATATCTTGTCACTTTTCATTTAGGGGTTGTTTTCACCCCTAAAAACCACAAACGACTTGATCTAGCAAAACGGACAGATACGGGTATTTTTTTTTGGGGTCCTAGTTTCCGAAAATGTCAAATTTTTTTATGGGTCAAAAATTGTGTCGGACGGTGTAGTATAATATGAAAATGAAGTGTTAC